CGTGAAGCCTCCTGCCTGATGTCAAGTGGCAGGGAGTTCCAAAGTACACTTGCTGCCACACCAAAAGATCAATGTTTTAAGTTGGAGGTTCCTACAGGGCAGGGCAGTTAATTGAAATCCAATTAACAGGATAACCTGTACTGAAGGTAAGATCGGGGGCCAGTGGAAAAATTCAGGCTCAGCTTCCTTTCCAAGCCAGGGCCTCACCTGGGATCATAGCTGTCAACCTTCCCTTTTTTTGCGGGAAATTCCCTTATTCTAGTGTCGTTTCCCGCTGCTTCCTGCTGCTATCCCGGATTGTTAGATATCCCGTAGACTGTCCCCGGGACAGGTGAGGCTGCTGATCCCTTATTTTCGAGGCTGCTGATCCCTTATTTTCAAATCTGAAAGTTGACAGCTATGCCTGGGATAGAGGTGTTAACATGACAAAAGAACTTGATGGCCCATCCTGGGTCCTGGTCCTGGGTCCTGGTCCATGCACAGAGCTTGCCATGATGATGGGTGTACACAAATTAATAATAATAATAATAATAATAATAATAATAATAATAATAATACCATCACCATTGGCCATGGTGTCCTCTGTCTAGGTTTGGGCTGGGTGACGCCGCTTTGTGGTGCTCCTGGTCCTTTGTGGATGAGCATCTCCACAGGGTGATGCTTGGGAAGTGCTCTTTGACCCATGGAGCCTTCAAGGTGGGGTTCCTTGGGGTTTGATTTTATCCCCATAGAAACATGAAACCACTAGGTGAGGTTATCCAGAGATTTGGGGCATGTTGTCAGCAATTTGCTGGTGACACTCAGTTCTCCTTCTCCTTGACATCTGCAGGTGAGGCAGTCAATGCTCTGGAGCAGTGTTTTGCCTCGATAACGGACTGGATAAGAGCCAACAAACTGAAGTGACGACCTTTGTAGGTTTACAAGAAGTTTTGTGAGGAGTATTATTGGAATTATTGCAAAAATGGATAAGGGGGAGGATGATTAGTTAAGAAATTTAAAGGTAATATAAAGTTAAGATGCATAAGAAGTGATTAAAACGGTGGATCATCAGAGGTGCTGATGGAAGTCCAAAAAGGTTGTATAAGTGACAAAGTTTTGTGGTACGTATTATAAATTATATGTTAAAATCAATAAAAAATATTTTTTTAAAAAGAGTCAACAAACTGAAGCTCAATCCAGATAAGACTGAGGCCCTGTTAGTGGGTGGTTTCCCACACCAGATGGGTGGGAGATCTTGACGGGGTTACCCTTTACCTGAAGGAACAGGTTTGTAGCCTGGAGGGACTCCTGGATCCTTTGCTGCTGCTTGAGGCTCAGGTGGTCACAGGGGGTTGCAATGCCTTCCATCAGCTTTTGCCGGTGGCCCAGCTGCACCCCTATCTAGACAGGGATAGCCTGGCTTCTTTCATCTATACAGTAGTGCCCCGCAAGACGAACGCCTCGCAAGACAAAAAACTCGCTAGACGAAAGGTTTTTTCGTCCGCGATTTGCCTCGCAAGACGAATTCCCCTATGGGCTTGCTTCGCAAAACGAAGCTTGCCCCGGGGACAGCGGGTCTTCTCTTTTGAAGCAAGGGGCTGCGGGGAGATAGCGATCTCCCTGCAGCCCCTTGCTGCAAAAGACGTCCGGGGGAAGCGGGGAAGCGAAGCGCTTCGCTTCCCCGCTTCCCCCGGACCTCTTCTGAAGCAAGGGGCTGGGGGGAGATAGCGATCTCCCTGCAGCCCCTTGCTGCAAAAGACGTCGGGGGAAGCGGGGAAGCGAAGCGCTTCGCTTCCCGCTTCCCCCCGGACCTCTTCTGAAGCAAGGGGCTGGGGGGAGATAGCGATCTCCCCCCAGCCCCTTGCTTCAGAAGAGGTCCGGGGGAAGCGGGAAGCGAAGCGCTTCGCTTCCCCGCTTCCCCCTGACGTCTTTTGCAGCTGTTCCGAAGTGGGGCGGGGGGGGCGGGGTCACCTGCCCCAGCCGCCCCACTTCGGAAAGCTGTTCCGAAGCGGGGAGGGGGGGCGGGGACATCTGCCCCAGCCGCCCCACTTCGGAAAGCTGTTCCAGGAACAGCTCCATAGGAACCTCCATAGGCGCCCGTCACCTCTCCAGCCAGGAGAGCGCGCGCGGGGCTAAACCAGCCCCCCGCGACCCTCTCCCAGCTGGAGAAGTGACGCGTGCCTATGGCAGGAGCCTCCATAGGCGCCCGTCACCTCTCCAGCCGGGAGAGCGCGCGCGGGGCTAAACCAGCCCCCCGCGACCCTCTCCCAGCTGGAGAAGTGACGCGCGCCTATGGCAGGAGCCTCCATAGGCGCCCGTCACCTCTCCAGCCAGGAGAGAGCGCGCGGGGCTAAACCAGCCCCCCGCGACCCTCTCCCAGCTGGAGTTGTGACGCGCGCATATGGCAGGAACCTCCATAGGCGCCCGTCACCTCTCCAGCCGGGAGAGCGCGCGGGGGGCTAAAGAAACCATAGCCCCGCGACCCTCTCCCAGCTGGAGAAGTGACGCGTGACTATGGCAGCAGCCTCTGAAGGATGCACCGAAGCCTGGCGTGGGGGGGGGCGGCGGAGAGACCTTCTCCCCGCGCCAGCCTTCGGATGGCTGTCCTGAAGACTTGGGGTGGGAGAAGGGTTTTCCTTCCCACCGCCAACATTCAGAATGCTGTTCTGAATGTTGGCGGTGGGGAGGAAAAACCCTCCTCCCACCGCAAGCCCCGGGAACAGAGGGAAAGCGCTGCGCGCCTTCCCCTCTGTTCCCGTACCTGTGCTGAAGGCTTGTGGTGGGGAGAAAAGCCCTTCTCCGCACTGCCAGCCTGGCAAGCGGTTTCCCTAGGAACGCATTAATTGATTTTCAATGCATTCCTATGGGAAACCGTGCTTCGCAAGACGAAAAATTCGCTAGACGACAAAAATTGCGGAACGAATTAATTTCGTCTTGCGGGGCACCACTGTACTCTGGTAACCTGTAGGTTAGATTACCACAATGCCTTATACGTAGGGCTGCCCCTGAAGACTGTTCAAAAACTTCAGTTGGTGCAGAATTCGGTGGCCAGGTTGCTCACTTGAGTAAAATGGTTTGAACATATTACACTGATCTTTGCCCGACTTCACAGGCCGCACAGTTTCTGGGCCAAATTCAGAGTGCTGGTTTTGACCGATAAAGCCTTAAGCGGCTCAAGACCGCAATACCTCAAGGCCCACCTCTCTCCATATGAACCAATCCAGACCCTGTGATCAGCCTCTGAAGCCCCACTGGGCTCCCCAAAACCTGTCAGGAATGTACATGATTCTCAACAACCTGGTGCCAGTCTACCTACGAGACCTCCGTACCCGTGTTCCCAGTTGACCACTGCAATCAGCGAAAAATGCACTGCCACAGGTGACACATAACACAAATTCCACCCGGTAGTTTATTATTTTATATATTATTTGTTAAATTTCTATGTCGTCCTTCATCTGAGGATCACATGGCGGTTTGCAATATAAAACCACCAAAATGCATACCATAATAATCACAATAAAAACACCCCTCCCCCACTACTCACACATTTAAAAAGCCATAGGATGTTAATCAACTAGAGAAGAGAAATATTCTGGCCTGGTGCCTAAATATATTTAATCAAGATGACAGGTGAAGAGCATTCCACATACAAGAAGCCACCACTGAAAAGGCCTGTTCTTGTGTTGCCACCCTCCGGACGTCTCACAAACTAATACTAAATGATAAATATTTTCTTTTTATGCATTATCTAAAAACCAATATGCAAAACTATACCGTTTCCCCTCTCAGAAATGCTGAGTTGCTAATTCAGTTGAGTAAATCATCACGATTGCTAATAGCATAATGTAGAAAGGCCTGTCGTCTTTGTCCATGGAGTTTTGAAGACAGGAGTGCCTGGCGTGCTCTGGTCCATGGGGTCACGAAGAGTCGGACACCACTAAATGACTAAACAACACAAGAAAGGCCAGCAAAATATGGGGAAGCCCCCTAGCTCCACACCAGACCACCTGCTTGCCATGCAGAATGTCCCAGGGTGAAACCTTGGCTCCTTCTGGCCTCACTATGATAGTCAGCATATTATAGTCGACAGAAAGAGATAACAGAACCGGTTTAAACCAGTTGCACTCAGCTTTTCATGAAGGAATAACCCACACATCAGGAACCTTGTGCTTCTTGTTTCTCAAACACAGAGAAGCTTCGAGAACCATCTTGAATTCACCAGAATGTTTAGAATAACCTTTGTGGGAAAACCAGAAGCATTTTTACTAGGACTTTTAGGTGCAGAAATACCAATGGATCAGAAAAGATTATTTATGTATGCAACGACAGCAGCGCAGATACTTATAGCCCAGAGATGGAAGAAAGAAAAAGTCCCTACTAAAGAAGAATGCTTAATGAAGATGATGGACTATGTTGAAATGGCGAAAATTGGATCAGGAGGATCAGAAATCAAGAAGGCAAGAACTTTAATAAGGAATGGGGGAAAGCTACTTTGGAGAACAACTAAAAACATTGGCAGGATTGTTATAACACTCATATTGTAGCAAGAATTATGGTGTGATGGCCTGGGATTCCGATTCTGAGAGTGAACCGGAGGAATCCCAGCCTGCACAGGAGTCCCCGCCTCCAGGGCCGGCTGAACTGGGGCAGGGCCTTGATTCTGAAGCGCCTGCACCTGTGCCGGATCCTCAGGAGCAGGCACCAGGTGAATCCATTCTGGCTCCGGAGGTGGTTGAGGACTGAGTGCCTGCAGGTGAGTCTCCCCCTGGGCCCAGTAACCCTTCAGCCTCTCCTGAACTGCAGAGGCTCAGGGCAGAGAGGCAAAGGGAACTGGTTTCTCCCAGGAGGAGTGCTCGCCTTAAGGCCAGGAGAGGCGGGGCTCCTGGGGGCCGGGACCGCCCCTGGCCTCAGAGAAGATAAAGGCCAGTCAGCCCGGTCCCAGGTTGCGGAAGCAACATCGTCATTGAAGAGCTGTTTCGGCCAGCATCCAGTCCTGTTCCTCCAGCGTTCCTGTTCCCCACCCGGCTTCCTGCTTTTGATCTTCGAGTGTTCCTGTCCCCGCCCGGCTCCCTGCTTTGGACCTCGCCTCGCACCTTGTGGACTATTTCCAGGCTAGTGACTCAGGACTGAACTTTGACTACGGTAACAGTAACCTTCCCCCCGGGACCAGCACAGTTTGCTCCCACCACACCCGCACTCCCCCATCGTTGGGGTGCGTTCAGGAAGAGCCAGAGGCCATGGCTGACCAGGCAGCTGCGCTGGTGGCATTGGCCCAGGAGAACCAGGCCTTGACCCACACCGTTCAGGAGCTGTTACTACGGTAACAGTAACCTTCCCCCCGGGACCAGCACATATGGTAAGAATAGTGTTTTAAGAAAAAAATGGAAGACCTTATAAGATGTATAAAGAGCAATTAGGTTCTTTTAGATCTGTTTAGGTGTTTAACATAGATGAAACGTAGGCTACTCCAGGAGAGCACAACACAACAGACAACCAATATTGGATTTCCTCTATAGTACTACTTTATTGATTACCGTGGAATACATTTAACAAGACAGGGGAACATGCACTCAGTCTCTCTCTCTCTCTCTCTCTCACTCACACACACACACACACACACACTCAAATTGGAGAGTCTCGCCTTGTATACTTTCCTTGTTGTTCATCTGAATCTTCGCATTCTTTCATCCTTGGCATGTTCTTGGTATTTTACAACTCTTATTATTTGAAACTGATGTTGTGTAGCTTTTGGCATATCACAACTCTTACTGTTCAAAACTGATGTTGTATAGCCGGTCTTCATGCCTCCTTGCATGTACCGTTCCCAATATACTGCTTTGGCCAGAACATGCACATTCCATTAGCTCTTTGATCAACGCCGTTCACTGATAGTTCATCAACTGCATCCATTTTGTGGTGTTCTTCAGCCATCTTAGGCCCATACAAACCATGCCATTCATTACATATTCCCCCTCTTGATGTGTAAATTTATTTATACTTCACTTTAAAATCAATATGCAAATATTCTAAGACAGAATTCAATCGTGTCTGCAGATTCTTTAAGCATTTAAGCAAAATGCATATCCAATTACACTGAATACTATCAACAGAATAATCACAATAGGGTGTTTCAATAGATGTAAGAAAGCAGACGTCTTTGGAGAATAGCCTTTAAATATCTCTCACAAATGATATTCAGTAAAGCTAGATTCCTCATCAGCAATTTGTTGAAATTTTCCATTTTCATATTGTATTTTTAGAAATGCCTTTTTTGTATTCTAAGCATGTTGTTCCAAGTGTTTTCGTAGTTGATCATTATGCAAAAACAATGTCATTAACTTCTTTTAGTCTGGTCCTATAGAAATATCAAAACTGTGTAGGTTTAATGGCAAATACACAGAATCCTTAATCGTTTCCGACACAATATTTCCAGTTCTCAAATTTTGCACATAGGTTATGTAGATTTCCCAACATCACTACAGGTTACATTTGCATTCCTGATGTTTATCAATTCCAGTGAGAGTTCCATCTGACCACAATTCAGGGTCCACAGTAGTAACACGTAAGCATCCAATCCCAGTATCTTAAATAAAAGTATCATTACTCATCTTTTGTAATTGACAGATTCCATCACTAACATCAAACACACAAGGTTCACTTTCTCCAAAATGTGGTGAGCAAACATATCCTTTCCCCCATTTTTCACACCTAGAGATTTCAATCATAACATTATCCTTATGATTCAAAACATTAGAACATAACAACTTATGAGAAAGAAAATAAGGAACCCAAAATATATCATTAACAATAATAGGTAAAAGTGTAACACCACACATCGTAGATATTGTGGTATTATGTATTCCACTATGTTCAAGTGATGATAATTCTACTTTCCATACATCATTAATAATCAGATAATCAGTTAATCTAAACCACTCAGAATAATCCTTATGCAGTATACTTTCAAGATTTCCTTTAAAATATATATATATTAGAAATTTCAACACAATAGTTTCAACAAAAACACATCCTCCACATTGTCCCCCCCTCCATTCCCCCTCTAAACAGAACACCCCCCTCCCACCCCACCCCCAGACTTCCCTCAGCTCCTTTCACTGGTTTCTCAACACATATTTCTATCTGCATGTTATAAAATTGTAAAACCCTCAAATTATCTATCTATATATTACAATAAAGAGTTTGTGAATATTTATTTAAAACCTGCCAAAGAGTCCAGTTCATTTTGTTGTTTCTTCAAATATTTCATAAAAGGTTCCCATTCGTCTTTGAAATCACAATTATCCTTCTCATGTAGTTTGTGTGTCAATTTTGCCAATTCCGCATAGTCCATCGGTTTTTCTTGCCACAGTTCTTTCGTCAGGATTTCCTCATTCTTCCACCCTTGTGCTATGAAGACTCTTGCCGCTGTTGTCGCATACACAAAAATATTTTTTAATTTCTTTGGCAGGTCTTTCCCCTCAATCCCTAATAAGAAAGCTTCAGGCTTCTTCACAAATGTTGAATGGAACATTTTCTTTAGCTCATTATATATCATTTCTCAAAACATTTTAATTTTACTGCAATCCTGGGCTGGGCTGGATGAATCCCAAACTGGAATTAAGATTGCTGGAAGAAATATCAACAACCTCAGATATGCAGATGACACAACCTTGATGGCAGAAAGTGAGGCGGAATTAAAGAACCTTTTAATGAGGGTGAAAGAGCAGAGCACAAAATATGGTCTGAGCCTCAACATCAAAAAAACGAAGATCATGGCCACTGCTCCCATCACCTCCTGGCAAATAGAAGGTGAGGAAATGGAGGCAGTGAGAGATTTTACGTTCTTGGGCTCCATGATCACTGCAGATGATGACAGCAGTCACGAAATTAACAGACGCCTGCTCCTTGGGAGAAAGGCGATGGCAAATCTAGACAGCATCTTAAAAAGCAGAGACATCACCTTGCCAACAAAGGTCCATATAGTTCAAGCCATGGTTTTCCCAGTAGTGATGTATGGAAGTGAGAGCTGGACCATAAAGAAGGCTGATCGCAGAAGAATTGATGCTTTTGAATTCTGGTGCTGGAGGAGACTCTTGAGAGTCCCATGGACTGCAAGATGATCAAACGTATCCATTCTTAAGGAAATCAGCCCTGAGCGCTCACTAGGACAGATCCTGAAGCTGAGGCTCCAAGACTTTGGCCACCTCATGAGAAGAGAAGTCTCCCTGGAAAAGCCCCTGATGTTGGGAAAGATGGAGGGCACAAGGAGAAGGGGATGACAGAGGAGGAGATAGTGGGACAGCGTTCTCGAAGCTACAAACATGAGTTTGACCAAACTGCGGGAAGCAGTGGAAGACAGGAATGCCTGGTATGCTCTAGTCCATGGGTTCACAAAGAGTCGAACATGACTAAACGATAACAACAACAACACGGTATATTTGCAAACCATTTGTAGTCATTTTTTAGCAGAGAGATAGGCTTGTAGTTTTTTGTTGTTGTTTAGTCGTGTCCAATCAGATCAATACTTTCTGTACTAAGAAATGCAAACTGACAAGTCTGACTCTATAGATATTCCCCTGGCTCTATATTCTCCTCACAGATGATCAGAGCCATTCTCCCTCCATCCAACCCTCTCTCCCATCTCAAATCCAGCCCTCTCCAACTATCTCCCTTTTATTGTCCTGCCCAAAGTCCTGGCTCCATCCCCTTCCCTCTGTCAAGGAAGCCAATCAGAGAGGCTCTGGCCCTCTGGTGGAATTCTCAGGCACTGCATCCCCAGACTCTGCTGTCCATCAAACCCCCGTCTTATATTGGTGCATTTGGTTCTTCCTGCCTAAGTGCAAAGCTTTACTTTTCTCCCTACTGAAATTCATTTTGTGAGCTTGGGCCCGGTTCTCCAATCCATTAAGGCCATTTTGAATCCCAATTCTGTCTTTTGTGGCATTAGCTGCTTCTCCCAGTTTGGTTCACCATAAAATTTCATCAGCATCCCCTGAATTCCCCCACCCAATTTTTTTTATAAAGAAGTTGAGCAACAACGGGCCCAGGACAAAAGCCTGTGGCACCTCACTTGTCACTTCATCCCAAGATGACGAAGAACCATTACTGAAATCTTCGGATGAAGGGAAAAACATAACTTTTATAAGAAGAAGAAGAAGAGTTTGGATTTGATATCCCGCTTTATCACTACCCGAAGGAGTCTCAAAGCGGCTAACATTCTCCTTTCCCTTCCTCCCCCACAACAAACACTCTGTGAGGTGAGTGAGGCTGAGAGACTTCAGAAAAGTGTGACTAGCCCAAGGTCACCCAGCAGCTGCATGTGGAGGAGCGGAGATGCGAACCCGGTTCCCCAGATTACAAGACTACCGCTCTTAACCACTACACCACACTGGCTCTCAATAAATAATAAGGATATCAACAAGTTGAAACATGTACAGAGGATGGCAACCAAGAATCTATTGATTTATTGATTGGTTGATTGATTGAATTTGTAAACCACCCTATTCCCACAGGTCTCAGAGAGTTTACAACATAAAATCACAGTATAAAAACACAAAATACACAATAATACTATAAACAATGGAAGATAGAGCAAACTTTTTTCCTTCCTGCTCCAGAGGGTAGGACATCAACTAATGACTTCAAGCTAAAAGAACGGAGATTTCTGACTAAACATGAGGAAGAACTTTTGACAGCAAAAGCTGTTAGTGGAATGGACTCCCTTGGAAGGTGCTGGAATCTCCATCCTTTGAGGTTTTATGAAGTTGGATGGTCACCTGTCATGGATGCTTTAGCTGCGATGCCTGCTTCACATGGGGTGGACTAGATTACACCAGAGGTCACTTCCAACTCCACAATTCTACGATCCTATGATTCTATGATTCTCCTCACTATGAGTTTTTTGATGAGAAGTGAGATTGGATCTCTGACAGAAGCTCTTTCCACATTCCATGCACTGATATGGTTTCTCTCCTGTATGAATTCTCTGATGGGAAGTGAGAAAGGAGCTCTCCCTGAAGCTCTTTCCACATTCAAAGCACTGATAGGGTTTCTCCCCTGTATGAATTCTTTGATGGATAGTGAGTTTGGAGCTGGTACTGAAGCTCTTTCCACATTCCACACACTGATAGGGTTTCTCCCCCATATGAATTCTTTGATGGGAAGTGAGACTGCAGCTCTGACTAAAGCTCTTTCCACATTCCACACACTGATAGGGTTTCTCCCCTGTATGAATTCTTTGATGAGATATGAGAGAGTCCTTTGTACTAAAGCTCTTTCCACATTCCATGCACTGATAGGGTTTCTCCCCTGTATGAATTCTTTGATGGGAAGTAAGATGTGAGCTCTGACTGAAGCTCTTTCCACATTCCACACACTGATAGGGTTTCTCTCCTGTATGAATTCTTTGATGAGATATGAGAGAGTCCTTTGTACTGAAGCTCTTTCCACATTCCATGCACTGATAGGGTTTCTCCCCTGTATGAATTCTGTGATGGGAAGTGAGAGAGGAGCTATCCATGAAGCTCTTTCCACATTCCATGCACTGATAGGGTTTCTCCCCTGTATGAATTCTTTGATGGGAAGTGAGATGGGAGCTCTTCCTAAAGCTCTTTCCACATTCAAAGCACTGATAGGGTTTCTCCCCTGTATGAATTCTGTGATGGGAAGTGAGAGAGGAGCACTGACTGAAGCTCTTGCCACATTCCACACACTGATAGGGTTTCTCCCCCGTATGAATTCTTTGATGGCAAGTGAGATTGGAGCTCTGACTGAAGCTCTTTCCACATGCCACACACTGATACGGTTTCTCCCCTGTATGAATTCTTTGATGGGAAGTGAGAGAGGAGCACTGACTGAAGCTGTTTCCACATTCCATGCACTGGTAGGGTTTCTTTCTAATGAGATTTATTTGATGGGAAATGGAATGGGAGCTCTGATTGCAGCTCTCTCCACACTCTAAATTTTTATTTGGCTTCTCCTCTCTGGGGATTTTCTCATGGTCACCCTTGTTCTTGATTTCCAATTTTTCACAATCTGCAATGGAAACAAAAAGGAATTAGAGCCTGAGGAACAAATGGAAGTCCCAGTTATGGATTAATGCTAATTAAATTTGTGGTAGGCAACCAATTGATGAAGACCCCAGCAACAAATCAGGAATATCAAATCAAGATCATGACAGTGACTAGGCACCACAAATAAAAAGAGTATAAGAAATTGTAATATCTGTTTTTTTCTGTTTCTCCCCTCTTTCTTTCTCTCTTGTCTTCTTTCTTCTTTATTCAAATTAATAAAGAATGAATCTAAAAATACTATCATGGAATATAAAAGGATTGAATGATAAAAAGAAACAAGGTAGAACGCATAGTGGAAAAACAGAATTTAGATATAGCATGTATCCAAGAGACGCATATAAATAAAAAACACACAAGAGTGTTGATAAATCCAAAACTAGGGTCAGAATTTATAACAGCAGACAAAAAAAAAGAGGTATGGTGATATACGTAAAACCTAACCTGGAGCCAAAGCTAATATATAAAGACGCAAATGGAAGGATAATAATAATTAAGATAAAAATCACAAGGGGAATCTTTTATGATAATTGGGATATATGCCCCAAATGAAAAAAGAGCAAAATTTTATAAAGGTTTAGAAGAGATACTGATAGAGCATATAGGGGAGAAACTAATACTGATGGGAGACGTGAATGGGGTATTTAATCCTGAACTGGATAGATCTGCAGGATGGAATAAAGGAAAGGGGGGGGGAGACCCTGATGCTGGGAAAGATGGAGGGCACAAGGAGAAGGGGATGACAGAGGAGGAGATGGTGGGACAGTGTTCTTGAAGCTATCAACATGAGTTTGACCAAACTGCGGGAGGCAGTGGAAGACAGGAGTGCCTGGTGTGCTCTGGTCCAGGGGGTCACGAAGAGTCGGACACGACTAAACAACTAAACAACAACAACAAAAAATACTCACAGAGAGTATTGATATTATGAAAGGCATGAGACAAGGGTGTCCCCTTTCCCCTCTCCTATTCATATTGGTGCTGGAAACCCTGCTAAATGAACTGAGGAAGGAAGGAAGAATAAAGGGAATTAAGACTGGGGGGGGGGACATAAAATTAGAGCCTATGTGGATGATGTGATATTAACAACTGAAGACCCCAAAGAAGGTATCCCATTAGCAATAGATTTAATTGTTTAATTTGGAAAATTGGCAGGTATCAAAATTAACAAAAAGAAAACCAACCTCTTTGTTAAAAATATGTGCTCAGATGAAAAACTGGAGTTACGGGAACTTACTAGTCTAGAGGTAAGGAAAAAAGTAAAATACTTGGGTATTTGGCTGTCAAATAAATGTATTCATCTATATCAAGATGATTATGTAAAGTTATGGAAGGAGATCAAGAGGCACCTGGAAATCTGGAGCAGGCTTCACCTCTCCTTTTGGGGTAAAATTTCTGTTATCAAAATGAGTGTCTTGCCAAAAGTGATGTTCCTGTTTCAAACTATCCCAATTTTGGGAGGCATGAATTGTTTTAAAAACTGGAGAAGGGACATTGCAAGATTTATTTGGAGTGGCAAAAAACCAAGAATTAAACATCAAATCTTAATAGACCAACAGCAGAGAGGAGGATTTGCTCTACTGGATCTGGAATTGTATCGTGCTGCAGCTGGGCTAGTATGGATCAACGAGTGGATAGTTTCGAAAGATACAGATTTAGTTGACTTAGACAATCACTTTGGAGAGCATGCTTATATGATATATGATAAGGTGAAGGTCCACATGGGTTTTTTGAATCATATTGTAAGAAAATCACTATATAAGATATGGAACAAATATAAAGATCTCTTAGAACCCAAACCCCCCTGGTGAACCTCCCCATTGGAAGCCATAGCCATTAAGAAAAAGAATATGCAAAGCGATTGGGCAACGTACAGAATGATCCTGGAGGAAAATAACAACAAACTAAAGTTGAAAGAATTTGGTAAAATTAGAACATATTTAACAGATTGGCTACAATATTTCCAATTAAACGAAAGATTTAGTTTAGATAATAAAAAAAGGATTTGCAAATGAAACTTCCAAATTTGAAAAAGGACTCCTTCAATCCAAGAACAAATATATTTCGAAAATGTAAAACCTCCTCCTGGATTGGGAGGTAAAGGAGGAGAAAGTGAAAGAATCTATGATTCGCTGGGCACAAGATTTAGGCCACAATATATACATGTGTCAGTGGGAAAAACTGTGGAGAGTTGACATCAAATTTACTGTATGTATGAACTTAAGAGAAAATGTTTTGAAAATGTTATATAGACAGCACTTGACACCAGCAACACTAGCCAAAATATATAAGAACAGGTCAGACTTATGTTGGAGATGCAAAAAAAGAAATGGAACTTACATGCATATGTGGTGGGAATGTGACAAGATTAAAGATTTTTGGGATACCATCTGCAATGAGTTAAAGAAAATGTTTAAGATTTCATTCCCTAAAAAACCTGAGGCGTTCCTATTAGGTCTTATGACACCAGAAATCCACAAGAAATACAGACCACTATTCATGTATGCCTCAACTGCAGCAAGGATTTTAATAGAAGAAAAAGGAAACACGACATCATCCCCTCAAAGATTGAATGGCAAGCCACATTGATAGAGTACTTACAATTAGCAAGGAGAACGGAGTCAATAAGAGGAAATACAATAGAAGAAGTAAATAAGGATTGGTTAATAATTAAGGAATACCTCAGAGGGTACTGGAATAGTAAAGGTTTTCTGGCAGATATTGAAGGAGCCTTGTAATACAAAGTACATGTCAGATAAAGTTAAATTAAGTTAACAAAAAACAACGTTGTGTAACTGTGTAAATAACAGTTTATTTGAAAATTAGTACAATGGGTATAGTCGGAAGTTTCTTTTCTTTGCTGACTGAAATATGAGATATTACTATGTTTTTTACTCTATTCATACTTTTATTCCTTTTTCTTTTCTTTTCTTTTCTTTTCTTTTCTTTCCCCCCTCTCCCTCGCTTTTTCTTTTTTGGACACACAGCTGTCCATGGAGGTACAGGTCAATTCAGTGTCTAGGGCAGCTGTCTACCAGCTCCATTTGGTATGCAGGCTGAGACCAAATAACACCAGACCTGAAAGACCTACACTGGCTCCCAGTACGTTTCCGAGCACAATTCAAAGTGTTGGTGCCGACCTTGAAAGCCCTAAACGGTCTTGGCCCAGTATACCCAAAGAAGCGTTTCCACCCCCATCGTTCAGCCCAGACACTGAGGTCCAGCTCCGAGGGCCTTCTGGTGGTTCCCTGCCAGAGAGAAGTGAGGTTACAGGGAACCAGGCAGAGGGCCTTCTCGGTAGTGGCTCCCGCCATATGCAATGCCCTCCCATCAGATGTTAATGAAATAAACAACTATCAGACTTTTAGAAGACATCTGAAGCCAGCCCTGTTTAGGGAAGCTTTTAATGTATAACAGACTATTGTATTTTAATATTTTGTTGGAAGCCACCCAGAGTGGCTGGGGAAACCCAGCCAGATGGGCAGGGTATGAACAAATTATTATTACTATTATTACTATTATCACTATTATTACTATTATTATGTGAGATTCGAAAAGCCTGCCTGTTCTCTGGGATGGATTTTGTTTGGCCTAGTCATGGCATCCCCTCTATCCCCAATGCCAGCTGTCTCTTTGGTTAACCCAAGATTGACAGGAGCAAAAACAGAAAACCTGACAGAGGTTACTTATCTTTCCTAACAACTCTGAAGCTGACATTTAAGATGGCCTGGGCAGTCCAGCCCAGCCCGATCATGGTATAAAAAGGCAGGACTGGAGGAAGACTGTTCACAGAAAGAATAGTAATTTGTTGTTCAACCCAGCAAATTATACCCAGCCAGATAGGCGGGGTATAAATAATAAAAATGACGACGATGACGATGATGATGATGATGGGGGTGTTAGGATCCCACGGGTTGTAGGGGACACTGTTGAGCTCTGTGAAAATAGATGAGGCTCATCACAGAGGCATTTTTTGAATTTCCAGGCAGATAGGACGATTCCACAGGGAGCCTTACCAAGAGAGGCCACAATCCCACGATTCTCCTCCCTGACGTCCATATGCAGAGCTCTCTGGTCAGGATCCAGCAACGCCCACTCCTCATCCGTGAAACGAACAGCAGCATCTTCCAAGCACACTGGACCCTGAAAGAAAAAGGGGAAAGTCCTCCTCTGAGACAGCAGAAATATGATCCGCTACAGAAAACTCGGTTGTGTGTGTGACATGAATGAGCCAGCTCCCAGGGGAGGAAGCAGCCAGGGGGAGAGAGGGTTACACGGGAGTCAACTCCCCCTCCCTTTGGAATGCAAACTGAAAACAAGAGTTCAGAGAGTCAGCCGGCAGCCTGCCTGAGGGTCAGTGAAGAACAAAACACAGCAATTAGAAAGGAAAGCAATTTAGAGAGCAGGAAAGACCATGGAAGTTTGGCTGCTTCTGGGCTCACTGGAAGCCCCCTCCTTAGAAGAGACATCCTTGATTATGGAAGGATGGCCATGCTTGCCACTCCGATGAACTTCGTTTGTTTTGCAATAAAACTTGCTTTTAATCAAGTACTCTCTTACCGAGACTCCCTTACAGTATGGGTATTCGACTTTGTGCAAATAGGTGGTACTCCACATTGTGGTTTTCGAATCATTCTGCCTACCCAAGCATTCCAGTTTGCCTGATGAAAGGATCCACTTTCTCCTCTCCTCGTGAGTTGTTCTGGGGAGTTCCCTCCCAATGCCCTACAGCCAAATTCAAGGGGTTCAGGGAGAGAGGGAGGGATGGGGGGCAGGCCCCATTTTGCAGCTGATGGGGCTGGTTAGGTGAATGCTGGCCACTATTTGTTCTCATTTGTACACTTCTTAGAAATTTTAGCATTCAATGAGCAACATAGAAATACAATAAGCCTAGTCTGGATGGCCATCTGTCTTGGAGGATCTAGCTGAGACTCCTGCAATGCAGGGGGTTGGACTTGATGACCCTTGGGGTCGCCTTTCAACTCTAGGAGTCTATGAAAACAGCAACTACTGATGAATCGTAGTGGTGACGCTCAGAAGGCTGGTATAGCAGAGTTAAATGGGCAGGAAATCCCATAGTTCACAGCTGGAGTTAACTCTTTATCAGCAAGAACACGATATTCGCAGACTTGGCTGAGTTTCAGACTTAATGAGAACAGCAACTCATTCCCTGAGCATCTTCCTCAATGAAATCAGTTGCAGAGAATGAAGGCCGCCGGCTCCCCACAGCTTTCTAAGTCCCCTCCTCTCTTGGGTTTCTGGCAAGTGATTGAACAGTGCGCCAGTGTGCAGCCTGCCTTTGCTCCTCCATTGTCAGACATCTCCTGGCTCTGAGAGACAAGCAGGGAGGGTGGATTCTGGCAGAAGGAGAGGGAGCCCCCAGTGGCTCCTTCTTATCCTGACTCACCTCTGCTTCTCACCCTCCCTCTGCCCACTCGCCTCCTTCCTCTTCTGCCTCTGATTCTGCGCTGCATTCTGCCACAGAGTCTCCCAGCCCACTAAGCCCTGTTACCATTCCAGCTTCTGACGCCTCCTCTTCCCAGGCTTCTCCCTCTTCTCCCTCTGACCGTTCATCCTTCTTCCACCTCCACTCCTTCGGCTCTGAGACGTCCTCCCTTCCTGGTTCCCCAGCTGCTTCCTCCCACCATTCCTCTGTGCCCAACCAGTAAATGACATTGCTCCATCCCTCGGCCTCTGTCCCCACAAGGCAGCTTCCCCTGACCTGATCTGGTTCCACAGCCGCTGCTTCCCTTCTGCCCCCATGAAAAGGCGGATCAGGAGGTCTTCTGCCACCTGCAAGAGAAAAAAGGTAAGCAGGACGCCAGGAGTGCCTGCTTCTCTCACAGGTGAAACAGGGCATCTCTAACTACAGATGGGCCTTTGAGAAGGACTTACCTACTGAGAGTATTTGGATGTTTGTGCCCATTTCATATGTTAGTTATGCAGAAATACATCTCCTTTCCTCTGGGCCCTGGATCCCAAAAGTCCCCCCCCAAAACAAGATGAAAAGAACCCACAGATGAGTTGGAAAACCAACAGAATAAGGCTAAATGGAGAAAAGCCACCTTCCTCCTTACCCAGTGGCCTCTCTCTGGTGTCCAACGGAGGCCTCTCTGCCTCACAGGAATCCAGGTCCATTTCTGCAAAGAGATCCTTTCCCTGAGAAAGAAACAAGGATTCAAAACAGAGAAAATGCATGAAGTCAGAACTGACTGACAAGGAAGTCATCAGGATCTTGTGAATAATGGATGTTTGGCTCTAGTGGGGGTCCTCACCCGGGGGTCCTCAGGAGTTGCTCTCCCGCCACTCCCCTGCTTCTGTCTCCTTTTCTTGCACTTGGACTCTCTGCCCTTCTCAAGACAGACTCCTGGGGTGGGGTCCCTTGTTCTTTGCTCTTAGGGCCAGGTATGTATCTGGAAAACCCGAGAGACCCAAGTGGACGGGGCCAAATACATCTCCGTTGAAATTCAGGTGGGCAATTTATTACTATTATTCTGTTAGCCAGCTTAACACACACACAGCCATTGATGCCAAGGTCCCTGGAGGCTCAGGGAGTAGCAGCGCCCATTTCCGGCTGCTTTGCCAGCAACAATCCCTTTGGGACAGAGAGGATGTGGTCCTGGGATGCCCTGCTCTGTGTGCGAGGGGATTGCTGCAGTGGCCTCCGTGGGGAGCTGCCCTGGGAGACACTGGGAAACTGGTCCCCAATGCAGCAGCCGGACTCTGGGCTGGGATCCCTCTCTTTATTCCCGGCCTTTCTCTCACACCTTTTTTTTGGGGGGGGGGCTAGTGCACCTCCTCGTCCAGCTTTGGAAAACCATTTGCACATTTGTTCCCTCTGTTGTGCAATGAGGCTGAGCGATGTCACACAGAGTTAAAGTCCCAGGGACTCCTTTGTTTGAAGAAGGGAGATCTTTTCTGAAAGGGGGGGGGCGGAGGGTCAAATGAGTTTGGGATCCTCTGATCTGCAGGAAGGAGAGCGTGGCAGACCTGGCCCCTCCCTGGCAGGACCCTCTCCTCCCTGACTTGGGGTCCCCCCCCCGCAGGAGCAGATCAGGCCCCCCAGGCACCCTCCCCTGCCCCAGCCCTGGGACACCCCCCCCCCGTCTCCCCACTGCACCCTCTGGGGGGAGAGAGAGAGGAGACTCACCAGATCCCAGGAGAGACACCCAAGCAGGAAAGGACTGGGGAGGGAGGGGCCTTGGCTCTGGAGGACCTGGCCCCCCCTTTGCTTCCTGTCCTCTCTAGGAAGGCAGCTCAGTTCCCTTTAACCCTTGCCAAGCCCAGCGTGCCCATCTCTCCCCTCCCCGTTTTTCTTTCTTTTCCCACACTTCCAGAGATGCTTTTTGGGGGACGCCCCCCCCCCCACTTCTCTTCTAGCGCAGTGATGGTGAACCTTTTACAAACCCAAACACATTTATTTTATCGCAAAGGGTCCATACGGCAATTTAACCTGCATATCTCATTTTTCCTGTGTTTTCACGTTTCTTCTTTATGACTGCTGTTATAATAAGTAATCCTTCATAAAAATTATTGCATTACATTCCTCATTAAATTATCTTTCCATTGATACATGATTTTATGAAATAACTCAGTGCTTTTTTTCTAAAAAAGAATGTTTAGGGTACTCTCATTTTGTCTCAAGAAAATCACCACCAGGGGGAAATAAATACAGTTCTAATCTGGGAAAATAAATACAGTGAATTTCTTCTCCTGTTAAATTCACAAAATGTTTAGGGGTCTGCGTCCCCCTGCGTCCCCACAGAAAAGAAGCACTGGTATTACTCCAAAACAAAGTGGTGTCATGAGCCATCAAACCTCGGAAATACATTTTGTCCAGAAGGTTCCACAATTTTGGCCGCTAGTGTGCACTGGAGGGCTGGACTAAGAGACCCTCTCCCAATTTTTAATATGAGACAATAATGATTGTCTGCATGCACACATAAAAATTTATAGAAATAAATAAACCCAGCCAGATGATTGGTGGTGTAGCAAATAGTCAGGCCAGTCAAATGAATTAAAGTTAAATGAATTAAATTAGAAGAATTAAAGCAAAGTTTTAATTGTTTGCCGGCAGCAAGCAGTGGCACGGAGGAATAAGTTCCGTAGTCCGGCCCTTCCCAACAGGGGAGGCTTCCCTTTATACATTCTTGAATCAGGTCTTTATCCAATCAAAAGTTACAGCATTGGACATACAGTGGTACCTCGGGTTAAGTACTTAATTCGTTCCGGAGGTCTGTTCTTAACCTGAAGCACCACTTTAGCTAATGGGGCTACCTGTTGCTGCCACCACACTATTTCTGTTCTCATCCTGAAGCAAAGTTCTTAACCTGAGGTAATATTTCTGGGTTAGCAGAGTCTGTAACTTGAAGCATATGTAACCTGATGCGTATGTAACCCGAGGTAACACTGTACTCTGATAGATACAACAGATTATGCCTAGAGACAAAAACTGCTTTGCCTGGAGACTGTGTTCCAGAGAGATACATGAGGTTCTGCCTAGTGACAGGGCCTGAGGAGAGCTGGGTGAGGGACTGTGGAGCGGAGACCAGTTCCCAGGCGGTGGCCCTGGCCGAAGGTTTCCTCCTGAGTCAGGCAGAGGAGAGGAAGCAGGTGAGAGAGACTTTCCTCTGGATACTCCCAAGGGGCTCCAAACAGGATGGAGAACATCCCATAATGGTCTGCTGATGGCCCATTCTTTTTCTGCAAGGCATTCATGGAATGAGATCTAACACCCTTCAAGTTTTTGGCCCTGACATTCATTTTATAATCCTTCTCGTCATTCTCTGTTTTTTTTTTTTTTATAAATTTTTTATTGCGTTTCTTTCCAAAGGTTCACAAAATCAGTTACAAGACAGTGAACAAGAAACAAATTTTAGAAATAAACAAATATAAAGAAAAAAAGAAAAATTAAAAATGTTTCAGATCATCTTTCCGTAGGTTGCTCTCCAATGAACCTCCTCACGTCCTCCCAACATTGCATTCTTTAAACTAACATAATCAGCAATTTATTACCTTATTTCACCACTTACTGTACCTTTCAATTTATTATGTTACCAATTTCAAGAAAATTATAATTCAATTTTAGTACCTTTATAATAAACATAATATATTTGTTTCAAATTGTCTTAATTTCCTCTATTGTAACTTACTTTGTCATTTACCTAATCAAATTGCAGGAGCGTAACATTTCCTAATCGTGCACAATCTTAACATTCAAACAACTTATAGTACTTTTGCAAATAGTCCTTGAATTTTTTCCAGTCCTCCTCAACTGTTTCCTCGCTCAGATCTCGAATTCTGCCAGTCATTTCTGCTAATTCCATGTAGTCCATCATCTGCGTCTGCCAGTCCTCCAGTGTGGGTAAATCTTGTAAATCTTGTGTCTTCCAATGCTTTGCGATAAGAATTCTTGCTGCTGTAGTTGTATACATAAACAAGGTTCTATCCTTTTTTATTCATTCTCTGTTTTGAATCCTTGTTTCTCTTTCAGGGAAAGGATCTCTGTGTGGAAATGGACCTGGATTCCTGTGAGGCAGAGAGGCCTCCGCTGGACACCAGAGAGAGGCCGCTGGGTAAGGAGGGAGGAGTTTTTTCTCCGTTTAGTCTCATTCTGTTGGTTTTCCAACTCATCTGTGGGTTCTTTTCATCTTTTATTGGGGGAGATATTGGGACGAAGAGCCCAGAGGAGGGGAGATATATTTCTGCACAACTAACATCTGAAATGCACCCAAATATCCAAATGCACTCAGCAGACAAGACTTTCTCAAAGGCCCCTCTGTAGTTTAGATGCACTGATTTACCTGTGAGAGAAGCAGGCACTCTGGGCCTCCCCCTTACCTTTTTCCTCTTGCAGGTGACAGAATGATGCTCGCAAGACCTCTTCATCCATCTATTCTTGGGGACAGAATGGAAGCAGTGGCTGTGGATCTAGATCAGGTCAGGGAAAGCTGCCTTGTGGGGACAGAGGTCAAGTAGCAGAACAATGTTGTAGATCAAGACGTGGTGGTGAACAATATTGTTGTCTCATAGGAGGACATTTCCATTTTTTCTTTTAGGGTCCAGTGTGCTATGAAGATGTTGCTGTTCATTTCACAGATGAGGAGTGGCAGTTGCTGGATCCTGACCAGAGAGCTCTGCATAAAGATGTCATGGAGGAGAATCATGGGATGGTGGCCACTCTTGGTAAGGATACCTTTGGAATCAGAATATCTGTTTTTAATTTCAAAACAACTCTCTTTGAGCTATTTTCACAGAACTCAACCGCGCCCCCTTAAGACTCCTGGGATTACAATATTGCAGCTTCTAAACAAGGATCAGTCTGGTCTGAACTCCCCAGGCCATTTTAACTGTAAACTTCAGATTTGTTAGGAAAGTTGAAGTAGCTTATCGAATCACAGGTTCCCCTAAGGATGTCGGTTGATCCCCGTTAATTAATGCACCCAACCCTTCAGAAAACCATCCATCTAACCCACTTGTGTTATTCCTCTATTACCAGAGTTAACAAGTATTCTTCCTTAATTTCTCCTTGAGGCGCTAATCCATTTCTCTTCATTGCAGATAGTGATGAACTGGAAATCAAGGACAAGGGTGACCATGACAAAATCCCCACAATGGAGAAGCTGTACAAATATCTTGAAAGTGGAAAAAAATCATATTCCACTTCCCATCAAAGAAATCTCATTAGGAAGAAACCCTATAAGTGCATGGAATGTGGAAAGAGCTTCAGTCAGAGCTCCTCTCTCTCTTCCCATCAAAGAATTCATACAGGGGAGAAACCCTATCAGTGTGTGGAATGCGGAAAGATCTTCAGTAACAGATCCCATCTCACTTCCCATCAGAGAATTCATACAAGGGAGAAACCCTATCAGTGTGTGGAATGTGGGAAAAGCTTCAATAGTAACTCCAAACTCACTATACATCAAAGAATTCATACTGGGGAGAAGCCCTATCAGTGTGTGGAATGTGGAAAAAGCTTCAGGAAGAGCTCACATCTTTCTTCC